CTAGATTTTCTTCTAGGGTTTTTATGGTGTTAGGTCTTATGTTTAAGTCTTTAATCCATCTGGAGTTAATTTTAGTGTAAGGTGTCAGGAAGGAATCCAGTTTCTGCTTTCTGCACTTGACTAGCCAGTTTTCCTAACACCATTTATGTCTCTTCATTTCTTGCTGGAACATGGTCTTTGAGGCAAAAGGCAGCATCTGTTAAGTTTTAAAGGACAGGAAGGAGGCTGTGACAGGAGGCAGCTTGTTAGAGTAAAAAGAGCCCTGGACTAAGAATGAAGGTTCCCAGGCTCTATCTTCAGCAATGTCTTTAGCAACTGTGAGGAACTGATTAATTCATCCTTCCTGAGTTCCTGTCTCTAAATCTGTAAAGGCAGGCAAACTGTCTCTTGCATTCAAATGTGGGAACACTTATGACTATATTTCACAATGAGATAAAGTCCCTTCTGGTGTTGGAGAAGGCACTTCATGTGGGGGCATTTGGTAGTAGGAAGTGATCTAGACTGGAGCACTCCCCATGGAGAGGGTGTCCCTGGATAGCACAGTGGAGGTCTCTTGGAGGGCCCATGAAGTCTCCGATGTATGGAGTATGATGGAACAAGTTTGTCTGTCCTGTCCTAAGAGAAAGACGCAGGTTTTAATGCAAGCTGTGACAGGACACAGAGCCTGTGCCTGGGTATCAGAACTGTGGCAGGATTGCGGAGATAGCTGCTGAAGCTTAGAGAGAGGCTGGGCAAGCCTCTAGTAATATGGGGAACAAGGAGTCTTTTCAGTATTTGGCCACAATTTGATGGTGACCCTCCAGACCAGAAACACATTCCCTCATGGATCAGGAGAACATGCCAGGGCATTTTGTTGAAGATAAAACATGAGAGCTTTCAGCACAATGCAGACCCATACATGGATGTTCATGTCTCAGTGCACATAGGGCTAACTGTGCTTCCAGTGGGTAAAGTGGGAAATTTCTGAATAGACACTTCTGTTTTTACAGAAAATGATGAAGATGAAGATGAAGATGAAGATGTTACAGATGAGGACACTGAGAACATACAGGAATCACCTGCTCCCAGGTAACACTGAATAGTCAGGAGTGGGTAATGGGTGGTAAAATATGGAAAAGGTCTCAGAAAGAACACAGGTAGGTGAAGGTAGTCACATATTCCAGATGCAGGATACAGACAGCTGCAGAGTGCACTGATTTCATGAATTAACCAACAAGGAAATAGTGCTGTTAACATGCTTGTCCATTGTCTTCATGGTACCTGTAAGCATGACCCTAGACGAACTCACTAGCCTTAGGGACTTTCTGCACACACAAAGGAGACCTGTCCTCCCCTGTAGTGAAAGCCAGGAGGAGATTCAAAGCCACTTTCTACATGGTTGTCTTTAGACTCTTGTTAGGGAAGAGAAATAGCAAGGAGGCAACCAGCAGAGGAATTAGGAACACCTAGCAAAGTTAAACACCAAGAAAAATACCTAGAAAATATTTACATTTCACATCACAATATTAAAATTAAAAAAAAAAATCTAGAAGTCACACCATCTCTGGAGTCTATCATGGCTCGGACACCTGTATTCCCTTGGCCACAGTATGTTAAACGCAATCCAGCTTAACACACATGATGTGGCAGCTGTTTTTGGTTCTGTGTGTGTGCTGTCAAGACTGTACCATACAGAAGCAGCTGAGTCTCTGTCTTCCTCAGCTCCTATCTGTCCAGTGCAGTAAACACCCGCTGCTCTCTTCCTCTCTGGTTCCCATGGCAGCCATGCTCTGTTGCAGAGAGAGGAGAATTGTCTATTCCTTCTTAAACGGAACCTCCCCTTTGCTTTCTGGGACCACTACCTTATGCCCTGCCTCAAAACCAGCTGGGAATTCCTGGGGTCCAGTCCCTCTTGGTTTAATCTTTGTCATCTTTATCCTACCTGGCTCATCAGGGAGGTGCAGAAGGCTGAGGAAAAGGAATTCCCTCAGGACTTACTGGAGGAATGTGCTGTCATTTGTTCAAGCAGCTACGGCGCTTCTGACTGCAGCCAGCCTCACAGGAGTGCCAAAGTCACATTTGAGGGAAACAAAGTCGACTCTGCTCTGCCTGTAGACAGCGAATGCTCTCAGGATGAAGGGGAGGAAGCTCCAAACATTCTCCCAGGTAGCCTGTATATCCTTTATCCCTCGTACCTCTGTCTAGGCTGAGGAAGATCAATTCTGAGGATGGGCTGTATACATACACATTGGTTTGAATCAGAAACTAGGATGAAGCCGGGGGCAGTGCCTCACATCTGTAATTTCAGCACTTTGGGAGGTCCAGGTGGGTGGATTACTTGAGTTTGGGAGTTCAAGACCAGCTTGGGAAATGTGGTAAAATCCATCTTTACAAAGAATATAAAAAATTACCCAGGCATGGTGGGGCACACCCGTAGTCCCAACTATTCAGAAGACTGAGGTAGGAGAATCATCTGAGCACAGGAAGTTGAAACTGCAGTGAGTCATGACCACACCACTGCACTCCACCCTCACCCTGGGTGACAGAGAGAAACCCTGTCTCAAAAAAAAAAAAAAAAAAAAAAAAAAAAAAAAAAAAAAAAAAAAAAAAAAGAAAGAAAGAAAGGAAGGAAGGATGGGAGGGAGGGAAGGAGGGAGGGAGGACTAGGATGGAAGGTTAATACAGATACCAGTGGGTCCGATGGCTTTCCACTTCTCCCTGGCCCCAATATCAGGCTACTGGACCACAAGTAGGTGTGACTAATTCATAGCCACCTGTGTACAGGAGCTGTATGGGAGGTATCTGTCAGGCCTCCTAGCTCAGTTCCTATGTCTCTTGTCCCCTGTAATGATGTAATTTGTGTCCCTGCACAATGTCCATGGAGTTTCTATGCTTGTCCACGGCCACTGACAGCCTTGCCTATGTACTTGGAGATGTTGTTTCCCTGATTTCACTCTTCTCGGCCTCAGTCTTGGTCTCCTTTGAGTCAGGTTGTCCTAGCTATGCAGTCACCTTGATATCAGGAGGTATATAAATAAAAGTTCTCTTACAATTCATTGACCAGGATATATGATAAAATAAATCAGTATTGCAGCAATACTTCTGGAGAGTAATTAGGACCATTTTTGAAGATCATGGGAAAAAATTTTTGTTTAATTGTTTGCACAGACTTAGGTCAGAAAATATGGGATTATGATTTTAGATGAGGGAGATTCTGTCCCATGGGTCTGGAAAGCAGGCTCATCTACTTCTGACAAGACTTCATCTAGAGCACATTAGAACCTTCCTGTCAGAATATCACATTCTTACACTGAGGATATTTATGTCCTTGTGCTATGTCTGGACACTGATTTGGTCTTGTTGAAGTGTGATTTGCTTACTGTGACTTGCTCTCCTAAATTTCTTTACAGGAAATCAAAATGATCATGAGGAAGAGGAGGGAAAAGTACCAATGCCCCCCAGGTAACTGTGGATTTGTGGGCTGTTAGCTCAGTAGTGACACCTGGAGACCAGGGATCCAGGGGAAAATAGGACAGGAAGTGATGAATAGAACTGTCTCATCCATTCATCCACAAATTCCCTCTCAAGCATAGGAACGGACAATCAGTTGAGCCAGGTGAACTGACCAAACTCAGGGATTTCCTGATCTCACCTGATGTCTGCCTCTTTGGCATTATCACCATGTTTACAAGTATTTAATAGCAGGAGAATGAATGAAAATAACTCACATCCTGCTCACAGTTTTGAGAACAAGTGATGTGGAGGATACAGGAACTCTTTCTGTGAAGATTCAAGAACCTGTAGTCAATTGGCTTCTGATGCTAATGTCAACAAAATGTATGCAGAAGTGCTAAATGCACTGTGTCCTGGCAGTTTCCCACAGGGATCCCTCCATCTCCTTCCTCCTCAGCTCATTGTCTGCCCAGTTCACTGAGCACCTGCCGCTCTGTCTCCTGCTTGAGACAGGGAACGATGGTTATGTCTTTCTGAGGGGACTGTACTTGGCTTCCTCTGGCCCCTCCTGTGGTCCTCTCTGTAGAACCAGCTGGGCGCAGTGGTTTTGCTTCTCTCCAGTGTTTATCTTCTGTCTTCTTTCCTCCAGGCTGAGCTGGGAGCTGCCAGAGGTGAAGGAGCAGGAAGTCCCAGAGGACTGCTTGGATGAAATTTACTTGACTCCTACAGTTCACCATGACCTGTCTGACTGCCACCAGCCTTATAGCAGCACCTTGTCCTCACTGGATGATCAGCTCGCATGCTCTGCTCTGGATGTAGCCTGTGAGTACTCCAGCCTGAAGATCGCAAACCTCCAGTGTCTTCCCAGGCAGCCTCCATATGTTTTGTTTCTGCAGCTTGTGTAGCTGAGCCAGGCCGTCAATGCAGGCAGGCCATCTACATTGAGCCTGCTTTGAATCTGGCTCTGGGATCCAGTTTCGATCACATACATCCAGTGGGTGAACCTTCCTCTACTCCTGTCCCAAGTGACTCCTCTGTCACCTGGCTTCTTCTTGCAAGAGCAGGCTGTGAGCATAAAAACTGGAAAGGGGTTAGGGCTTTTAGCAAGTTCTTGTCCACAGTAGCTCATCTGGACGTATTTGCATAACAAACCTTCTCCTTTAAGATAGGGCATCTCTTCTTTCTGAAATTATGTTGCTAACGACATGCCTTGAACAGTGCCCTTATCTCTTCTCTGACCATCCACACATGCAGGAAGTTTTGCACAATTATCTGGAGGCCTGTTTTATGATTCCTGTGTCTCATACTGGATTCTCTTCATCACAGATCCCCAACCCAGGGGCCATCCATGGACCCTTGTGGGTCCATGACGTGTTAGGAAATAAGCCGCACAGCAGGAGGTGAGCGGTGGGAGAGCATTACTGCATGAATTCCACCTCCTGTCAGATCAGCAGTGGCATTAGATTCTCACAGGAGCTCGGACCCTATTGTGAATTGTGCATGCGAGGGGTCTAGGCTGTGCACTCCTCAGGAGAATCTAATGCCTGATGATCTGTCACTGTCTACCAGTGACTGTCATCCCCAGAAGGGAACATCTAGTTGCAGGAAAACAAGCTTAGGGCTCCCACTGACTCCACATTTTGGTGAGTTGTATAATTATTTCATTAGATATTGCAGTGTTATAATCACAGAAGTAAAGTGCACAAAAAATGTAATGTGCTTGAATCATCCCAGTCCATCCCCACTACCCTTGTCCTTGAAATATTATCTTCCATGAAACCAGACCCTGGTGCCCAAAAGGTAGGGAACTGTGGCTCTACTTCCTCTGCTGCCTCTTCCCTCACTATGCAGTCTAGCATCCCTTCCTTTATGCACGGCAAGGCTTGCATGCTCTGCAGAGCTACAGTGTTTTTTTCTCTGTATGGGTTTCTCATTTCAATCAAGATTTGGTCTCAGTGCTATATTCTCATGAAAAACATTGAGATCTAGTGTCCCTTATGAGCTATTGGCCTAACCGATGAACCAAGCAGAGTGGTTCCTGTCCCCATGATGTCCAGAAAACCCTTCCTCTGAGCAAGGGCCTCTTGGTGTAGCAGCTTCATGGATATGTAGAGAAAACTTTCAATTTTCATTTCTTCTTGCTCATTGTGTTTAATTCCATTCTGGGAGTTTCATGTGGATTTTTGGGAGTTTCATCCGTCAACTTATTTTCTAGGAAGAGCAAGTAACTCTGAGATGTACCCCAGCATAACTGATTATGTTGTAATAAAATTAGCAACAATGCTAGGTGCGATGGCTCATGCCTGTAATTCCAGCACTTTGGGAGGCCGAGGCAGGTAGATTGCTTGAGCTCAAGAGTTTGAGACCAGCGTGGGCAACATCATAAGACATATCTCTATGAAAAATTAGCAGGGCCTGGTGACAAACACCTGTAGTCCCAGCTACTTGGGAGGCTGAGATGGAAGGATCACCTGAGCCTGGGAAATTGAGGCTGCAGTGAGCCATGACTGCACCACTGCACTCCAGCCTGAGCAACAAAGTGAGACTCTGTGTCTCACACACACACAAAGAAAGAAACTAACAACAACAACGTTGGCCTCTATTCTGTTTTGGTCAGTGAGTGCCTTTCCTGCTGGGACCATCCCCTTTCCCATTTTGTATTTCTCCCTGAATTTGAGAAAGCTAATACTTTTCTAGGATCACAGTAATTCATGAAACAAATAAAATACACATTGGCCTTGCATCTGCTGTATGCCCTGGCCCTTGCCAAACAAGCTCCATCCTGCTATGAAACATTGAGGGCTCAAGAAACGCTCCCAAGTGGGCAGTGGCATTGCCCTGTTAGAGCTGAGGATGTTGGGGCTCTGGAAAGTTTCCTGCACTTGCCCAGGATGCCCCAATTAGTCATGGTGGGAATATAAGCCCCTTGTCTGCCTGACTCCATGGCCCAGTTTCTGTCATTTCTTTGTGTGGGGACCTGCCAGGTACTGAGCCACTATGGGTGCTCACCCTTTTCCTTTTGTAGAAATTATTTTGAAATAAAGTCAAGTTGAAACAGAAAAGTTGCTGGTCTAGGATAAAGAACTCCAGTAGCCCCTGGCACAGACTTCTCAAGAAGGATTACCCCTGTGCACTTTGTCCGTGAGCAGAATCAGTGGCTCCTCCGGTTCCTCCAGGGGGACCTACAGCTCCCACAGGCTCTCCCCTGGAAAAGCACTCAGGGGATGAAAGGTCCTAGTCTCTCCCCACCCCCTGCCCCCAGGGTTACGACTCTCAACTTGGCCATGCTTGGATCCTGGTAAATCTGTGGAGCTGCATCTCATGAACACCCCAGCCAGGATGTGGCTCCTACAATAAGAAAGGGAATTGCTCCGACACATGTCTCAGAAGTGAGATGCCTGTGATGTGGGCCAGCCCTGCCAGGGCATCAGCTGACCTGGGCCAGGAGAGGCCACATTCATCTAGGCAAACGGTCCGAGATGAATGAATGTGCCCTTCAAATTATGCAAGGATGCTTCCTGCGTGTGGCTTCACAATAATAATGTGTGAATAGTGTGTATAGTGCACAGCCCTGACCCCAGCAGCCGTGTCAAAGTGCATCTGCTCTGCCCATCCTCTCCCTGCAGAGAAAAGCTTGGTAGATTTAGAAAGAATACAACCTAAATTATCACGTGATCTTTTATCACAGGCTTTCCCAACCCGCCCAATTAACAATGCCACAGTACTTCAGAAGTTTGAAAAAAACTTTTCCTTTTACATCTGAAAATGCAAATATTCACAGTATAAGTTTAATAAGACTCTAGAAAAGACAGATAAAATGACGTGAGAAAATTAAGTAGTGAGAATCAAAGACACTCACAGAGCTTGATTTGAAGTAGCAAGTGCAGAGACTCAGAGAGGGAGCGATGTGTTTGCCCAGCCTTCATCAGCCAAATTTGTTGTTTCAGGATGTTTTCCTCATTTGCTCAATATAAGGTATCTTAAAATGTAAGAGTGTCCTAAGTGGCTGAGGGTTAATCATCAGTAAAGTGTGCCCTGAGCAACTAGGGATGCCAAACCTGGCTGAGAGAATGGCTCCTGGACAAAGACCACAAAGCTGGATGGCACCTGGTGCAGGGTGGGCCATGGAGGTGTCAGCATGACTCCAGGGAGAATCTGTTTGAGGCGATGCTGGATAGGAATGTGGGGCAGATGTTAGAAGTAGCACAGAGGCAGGGTGAGGGGGACAGTCACCCACTGGGCAGTGGAGAGAAAGTTTTCAGATGCAGAGTGGGAACATGGGAAGAACAGGGCTTCTGGGTGATAAAACTGCTGAGACAATTCCTAGAGTGGAGATGGCAAAATCAGAGAAAGCAGAGACGGAGCGTGTAGGAAACCAGGCATCAGTGATGAGTCTGATACACTGTGCTCTCAGGGAGATGAAAGAGAATAGACACATGGAAGACATTTTTTAAAAAACTTAGAAAACCTTGGAGAGAATGAGGATGTGGAGAGGCGAGGAGAGAGAGGAGCCCTTCAGCAATGTGGATCCGGCCCTGTAGGCGCCGGCCCTGTGGGTGCTGTCCCTGTCCTGAGCCTGACATGAAATGGCGTGAGGTCATTGGGAGAGTTTCCTTAGTCCACTCTGAGAATGTGCAGTCCTTTCCCTGTGGAAATAGAAATAATTTTCTGCCTGAACCCCACTGGAGGAGTGGGTAATGTGAGGACTCTGCCCTGTGTTACCTTCCTAAGGAACTGCATGTGCTGATCTGTAGCTCTTATGGCTTCTGAATTTCCGCCAAGGAAGTGGTCCATCTACTACATTGTCTATGGTTGCTGACACCCACTATATGGCAATAGGATGGAGATTTGTGGGCAGGGGGTTAAACCATTATAGGCAATGGCAAATTCAAAACGTCCCAGATCCCTGAAAAGTTTGCCTCACTTAGTGTTTGGTTTTCCTCATGGTTCTTTCTCAAAGCCTCATGGCTCTAACTGTTGCCCTGTTCTTATACACCTGTGTTGTGGAGAATAGCTCCTCTTCTCCTATGCTCTGAGGGCTCTCTAGAACTTTCCTTCTTGGCACAGGAAAGAGATTAATAATGACAGACTAAGTATCATGATGTTGTTAGCCAATCCAACGTTCTCTGGGCTGAAGAAGGGGTTTTTCACTTCAGAGACACCCCAGCCCTGAAACTCCAGCCCATGTCAGCATCCCCAGGCACAGAAAGGAAAGGTGACATCACCTACATTGACGTGATATGTGTCTGTGTGGCCTGGGTCACTGGGTGGCTTTACTGAGAGGCAGGGACAGCAGCAATGGGTGTCCTGGGTGTGCTTCACAAAGGGAAAACTGAGATTGTTCCTACTGAAGCCCCTTCTCCTTTCAGCTCCCACCCAGGAGGCCTGTCCCCAGGGGACTTGCAGTGGAGACTGGAGCTACCACTTGGCAGAGGTGCAGGCTTCACAGACACAGCTGGAGCCAAGCACCCGGATGACCAATTGTCTGCAACTACAGCTGGATCAAGGGATCGACTTCGGGAATGGCTTAGCCAGGCAGGGCCTTTCCTCCACCACCTGCAGCTTCACAGCCAATGCTGATCCTGGGACCCAATGTCCCTTTCAAGGTAGGGAAGGAAAGGGGAATAAGAAGGTCTAGACCAGGTGTTGGTGGTCACGGTGCTGTGGGTGGAGAAGAGAAAGGGGCCTCTCCGTGCCCACTCAGGGTCAAGTTGAAATCCATGATGCTCCAACCCAGTGAGGTGAGCAAGAGCCTGGGGCTTAGGACAAAATCTGCTCTCAGGTCCTGGGTTTGCCTGTTTCTGGTTGTTCACTTTGGCCAAAGATTTTGTCTTTTCGGGGTATAAATATCTGTTTCCTCATTGCAGCTACCTAAGAAATAATATCTACCTGTCATCATTGTTGAGAGTATTAATTATTATAATTTCCAATGGGTCTGATCAATAACAATTGCTCAATAAACCTATAAATAGCTGTTATCTAATCCATTTGTCTTCTGCCAAATTTACATTTAGAAAGTGACTTCACAGACTATGTCTTCTCTGAGGTAGAGCAATTGTGAAGCTCTCTGTTTTCTACAGACCCCCCTTCCTTTCCTTTCTCACACACACTCCTCTGCCAGTTTTCTTCCTCTCCTTCCGCATCCCTCATGAAGCCAATTTCCACTATCAGGAACTTTCAGTAACAACCTATGAGGTACATTCAGTAACAGTGTAAATCCTGGGCCCACAAGTCAGTCTCATGACATGTCCAGCTCCTTCTTCTTTTCTGCTCTTTTTAAAAACAATGGGCAACTTTCACATGGAAAGTGTTCATATCAGTGCCTTTTATGAAACTCCATTTAGTTCATCATCTCCACTCATGTTCACAGCCATGTCCTCAGTTTCCATCTCACAGGGATCTAGTTCTGCTCAGATTTCCTTAAAACCCTGGGTCGTGTTCATCTTCATTCTCTGTCCTACTCAATCTCCTCCTGGAGCCCCTGGGGCTGCCTGGTGCTCATCTGTCAGGTGATGCCCTCGGCTGAGGAATGAGGGGACCCCTGTCCTCAGGAGGAAGGAGGGTCACGTGAGATAACACCATCTGGGTCCGTGGAGAGGACACACGGAAGGCGCTCAGTGGGTATCAGGAGATGCGCAGTCCCTGATACGTGCCTTGATAACTTTTATTTAAACTGATTTCTTCCCACCAGAATCTCCTTTGCTTCTCTGTGGATTCTCACGCCCCAAGCCAAGACTCACCCCAGTGGCTCAGACACACTGTCTCTTGCTCACGTTCCCTGGAGTGCAGAGCATGAACCAGGCTCCAGGTAAGAGGACAGAGTGAACCCCTTTTGTCTCATTCATATTTTCGTTCAGCTGGTGATTTCTCCTGCTGTCTAACGGGTCATTTGTTTCTCTCCACACATTTTCTTTCTCGTTCTTCTCATGTTTCTTTTTTTTTTTCCGATTCAATGGACCAGAATAGTCATTATAACATTACATTTAATATCTTCCAAATCCCTATGTAATATTTCTTCATTAGATTAATACATACAGATATATTCATTGATGTCATTTGTCATATAGATTATGTGTATTTGGTGTGTGTGCTATATAGGGTGTATATGTATATGTAATAGATCATACAATGGTACAAGTTTTGTAAATTCTCCAGGTTTAGGCTTCCCCGATTCTTTTCTCTCATCAGCTGCTATAACCTCTGTCTGGTCTCACCTCTATTTCTCATGGGCTGCCACCCTGCCAGTCCCTTCCATCCCCATCACCTGTTTGAACTCAGCTCTGATTTAACTTTCATTTTTATAATCTCTTCCCTCACCAAAGCCCAGCCTACACACAGTGTGATTTCCTTGCTTTTGCCTTATTTACCAGAAAGCTATTTGTGTTTCTTAATCCTGTGTTTCTTGAATATTTTGGGGGATTGAGAGTGCCTTTGCCTCCTGACATACTTGTCATTACTGAGTAATGTAAAAAAAGATCAACAAAAAAGAAAATATTAAAATGATTCTATTGACTTCTGCTCACACTTTGGACGTTCTTGTCCAAGGCCACATTCCTGATTTGATGTCCTTTGGGTGGGAGAGAAAGTCACAATAAGATCGTGGGTGCCAGTGGATGCCATTGGCTGTCGTTTTATTTTCAGAGCTGGTTTTAGAGCCCTCCGCTGGGATGAAGAACCCTCCGCAGCTGGAAGACGATGCACTTGAAGGCTCAGCAGACAACACACAAGGACGTCAAGTCATTGGCCATATTGACCACTCAAGTGTCCTAAAACCAAAGAGTATTAAAAGAAAACTCCCGTTCAGCAAGTGGGTTCCCTGGCTTTCACACTTAGGGTGCAGAGGTAATCACATCTGTGAATCTTAACTGCACTCACTTCTTATTTCTCTCTGTCTATGGTGGCAGCTTATTCTCCCACTATTTTTCTCTTCCATTTGTTCTCTCCAGTATCTGCTATTACCTCTGTCTGGTCTTACCTCTGTGTCCAATGGGCTCCCACCCTGCCATGCCTTTTCTGTCCCCATCTCCTCTTTGCTCTCTGAACTCTGTTCTATTCCTTCTCCTTCTGCTGTCTTGAGAGTCCCTCTCATGGCCACAGGATTGCCAGGTCTCCTTGTTCTCATCCAACTGCATAGTTTAAGCTGCTGAACACAGGGTTTTTTGCCGAAATTGCACACGCTCTTGGGAAATTTACCTTTCCTCCCAGCGTCCCCAACTCCATTATCTCTTTCTGCAGAAAGCATTGCTTTAATACATCATTTACACATAGGTTTTTCTCTTGAGTTGGATTTTGAGCAACTCAATTTATTCAACCCTTAATCATCTCTTGTTCAGGTGAATGAGAAATGTGAAAACTAAGCACAAAGAGCCCCACTTAGAAAACTAAACTAGAACCAGGTGGGAGTTCCCTACTAGCCTGGAATCAGGTTAGTCTTCAGCCCCAGATGTGTAGCCTTGTGACAATGTAGATGGAGTTGACAGGGACTCAGTGTTCTCACCTCATGGACTCATTTGAGCTGACATTAACTGGAGGAAATTTATGATTGTCTAAAGTGACATCACTCCAAAAGTACATGCAGAGGACAGGACTTCAAAACTGCATACATCATGAGGTACATCATTCTAACCTCTCTCCTTTTTATTCTCATTTCCACTTCTACAAGTCCAGTTCAGGATCTAAAATGCAACTCAGAAGAATCTTGAGACCAGTTTATATGAGATAGCACTTTCTAAATTATCTTTGAGAAAAGTGACTCCAGGACCAGCTTTATGCATACGCAAGATGACAGACAAGAATCTATCCACAGGACAATCTTTGCTTTGGCCCAGCCCAATTGATAAGAGAGAGGTTTCACTGAAGTTGTCAGAGAGAAGACCAAAATCCTTGGAACCACTGGGAACAAAGCCAATCATGAGATAAATGGGAAAGGAAAGAAACTGATGGAAATTGGGTTGTTCCATTTAGTATCTTTATATCCTGCTGCCATGTAATAAACACCTGGTGAGATTTCAATTAAGATGAATGCCTTGAACTCACACCTTGAGGTTCTCACTTTCATGACCTAGAGTGTGGTTTGGGTGTCTGTAGTTTTAAAATGCTCCCATGTGATTCTAATATGTGGCAAAAGAGAAGAAGGACCACTGGTCTTCCTTGACCTCAGGTTACCAACATGGAAGTGCCCCATATGTGTAGCTAATCCAAAGGCTGCACGTCCATCAGCCTTTGATGGGACCTATATTCCCCTCTCAACAGCACTGTTTGCATAGCATAGAAAAAATTAAGCAGAAAAACAAGAAAATTAAGAGATTAGACCTTTAGGCCCTGTTTGAAGTACGCTTCCTCAATTTTGAATACAAGATAAAGTGAGAAATAGTCATTGTATTAATGCGTAATGTACAGAGATAATACTTCCCATATTACATGTAATGGAATTTAGTATATTCTTTGGCAGTTTAAAATAAAACTTTCAGTTTACATTTAACTACACACATTTTACAGCCCACTAATTGGCTCAGCACTGCAATGTGAACGTTTCACTTTTGATCAGTTACTGTCCTTCTGCAAAGCCCCAAAAGAGAACTTACTGGTCTCACTCTCCTGAAGAGAATACAATAACAATCAAGACTGAAATTCCACAAGATATTGTATATGAATACTTCTTTATGCCACTATTGACACTGACGTTAAATATTAAACGGTAAACTTTCCCAAAATATACTTAAGAAAAATAATAAGTAGGAGGGGAGAGTATAGTAAAACACAAACTAATCCTTTTCACTTTGTACTTCAGAGTTTTGTTGATCTAGATATTGAGAAGATTAGATGCCTTAAGATGTAAGCAGGTGTGGAATCAACTTCCAGGCAATAGGGAAAATAAGTAAGGCCATAATTACACTCCCTGCTCTCTCTTTGCTAACTCCATTATGAGTATCTTTTTTTTTTTTCTTTCCTGAACCCCTTTCAAAGAATACTTATAATATTTGTTTTCTTTTAAAAAAATGTTTAACCAACCAAACAAGCACCACAGACATCATATTTCTTTGTAAAACCTTATTCCTGTCCCAGCCAAGGTGATCCAACAGCCTATCATGACTGTTGAGACCTCCAGATTGGAGCCTTTCCTCTAGCTTCCTCCAGTCTTGACTGAAAGGGCCTTCGTTCATGTGTACTATTTCCTGGGCTGTCAATAGCAAGTCATGTTGCCTTAGTTCAATCTTACCCTCTGTTTTAAAAGGTGGAAATGGACGTGGATGTTGTCTGATGTTCCTGCTGCTTCTTATATCCAGAGTTCTTCCCATGGCCCTCCTGCTCTTCCCTAGAAGACTGGGACATGGAGTTGTAAGGGGGTGGGTTTCTCTGAAGAGTGTCCTCTCCTTCTGCAGCCCTCTGTGTCTGAGCATGCATGATTGATGCTGAGACATCCTCACTGAGAAGAAAAGCCATCACTCTGCTGCAAACAGAGGGTATCAGGAGGAAAGGGGCTGATGTTCCCGGCTGCTGGTTGAGCATAGGAGGGTTCCCTATATCCTGCACCCTAGACTAACTGGAAGATCAGGGAAATTCAGGGGCATTTTCTTCTTACTTGTGGATGGTGCTTTCCTTTCCAGTCAGCCCAACCCTCACCTTCATCTCAAGTACCCAGCAGGAGATCAGTTTGCCACTGGGATAGCACCACTTAGCAATCCCTCCAGACTCAGCCTTCGAAAGGACCTGATGAAAATGCTAATTTGATTTATCTCTCTCCCCTACAGGTACCAAATACTGCTGGAAAGATGCAAAGAATGAAAGGATGTCACAAAAAAAGTCGCTTTTCCACTTTATGAGAAAAAACTAAAACAGCAAAGCAAGTTGAAGTCCAAATACAATGACACTGCAAGGATCTTTCAGTGAGGATTGAATTTTAGATCACAGAATGCTCTTGATGATTTCAACCAACTAGACTTCTTTGATTTGAGAAGCCACAGTCCATCCTAGTCCAATTGTGATCAATACCTAGGGAGACCAATTCCCAGATAGACAAACAGCATTGACAGACCAACAGCACTGACAGACCTTAGCCCCGCTTCTCTCAATTCCCATCCTGTAGAGAACAGAAGTCTGGAGCCACTGGCAGGAGACAGCATGCCACCCAGGACTCTGCCAGGGTAGAGTATGAACAATGCCATGTTCTTGCTGAAAATGTTTAGCCTGAATTTCATAGGAGGTAATCCTCAGACAACTGTAGAACGCAGAACATTGAACAGGACAACTGACCCGTCTCCTTCAAACAGCCCATGTCACCACCAAGAACACGACAAAAAGGAAAAGAGATGTTTTGGATTCAAAACGAGTAAAAAGACTATGTAGCTTATGCTTTTTAGTCATTTTGAACCCCAAATATCTCTTCCTCTTTTTGTTGTTGTCATTGATGGTGCTGACATGGACTTGTTTGTAAAAGACGGGTCAGCTGTCTGACTCAAAGTTCTTCATTTTGAAGTCGTCTGAAGATGTCCTCATGATTAAATTCAGCCTAAACATTTGGCCAGGAACACTGCAGAGTCATGCTGTGAGCTTCCTACTTCAGCCCATTTGTGGGCAGAGAAGGTCCAGTGTATCCATCCCTATTATAGTGATACTAGGATGGTCAGTTGGTTAAGGAGGAGTCTAGGAGCTCTGTCACTTGTAATGACATCTTATTTATAATTAATTTGGCAAGTGGTTTGAAAAAGTATTATTAATATCCTGTGTTCCAGCAATCTTCCTCTGAGCATTTTACCATCAATTAATCACCCCTGCCTGTGTCAGTTATTTATATTTATGTTTTTATGTTGGAAATTGACTTTCTTAAAATTTTACTATATACTTGCTTTTGCTGGCATTCTGTCATACAAAAGAATATTCTCTGCTCAAATTTTAACTTGCATCAAAAATTAATTTTAGTCTATTAAAGCTAAAATGTTTATGTTTTAAATCACTTTAATTAAATCTTTTTGACTATCACTCTGGGTTAGTGGATTTTTTATGTGCAATGTTTTAAGCTTTCATTTTATGATTAGTTTTCATGGATAAAGACATAGATTCATAAAAACATTCTTATTTCCCTGTTTATATTCTAAACTCTCTCATATTTTACTCTATATTTACCATACATAGTAGATTGTATTTACTGTATTTGTCAATGTAGTTTTCTTTGTGTGTTTGTGTGTGCATCTGTGTGTGTAAGCAGGCAATCTCACTGCAGAGCCCACATTAGATGTGTGTGTGTGTGTGTGTGTTTGTGTGTACACGCGCACGCATGTGTGTGTGTGGCAGGTTATATTTTCCGTATTTCTTTGTTGATGTTATTTGTTTTCTTTTTGTGTTTGTGTGTATGAGAGAGACTTTTGTTTGTTATTTAGGAAGGGTTGTATGCTTCCTGTTTAACATTGCATTAAAAAGGTTTTGATATCATTAGTCTCCTTTTAACCTTTTTGAAGTTGAAATTATAATTTTCAACTTCAAATTTTTACCAATATGAAAAAGACATTATTTTCCTCTTCTCTGACCCCTTTAGCTGCCATTTCTGATAGTATTATTTCAACCCAAGCACATGCCAGTGATAGCCTATGTCTCCCACCTTGTCCCCAACTTGGTTTTTGGTTTAGATCCATGATTAAATATGTTGATGCTCATAAGTTACTCAAAAGTGCATGTCCTAGTCATCACTTACTGAGTAGCATTCATCCTTCACAATGTCCTCATGAGAGAATCACGTCTCTCTGAGTTTTGCATCCTTAAACTTTTCCCAGTGCCTTGGTACATGGATTACCTCACTTGATTTAAGGTATTTGCCAAAAATGATTTTTCTTGATATTTTAGGAAATATTATCTTGCTTTAGGGGACATGCATGGTGTGTGTTCCCATTCTGGGATACTATTTGTTCTACCAGGACCTTTAGTTTCTGCCAGTTACTTCATTCATTCTCTTCACCACAAGTCTCCAGAGGATTCTTCCTTTGTCCAGGCCTCCTCTACCTCTCTGCTTCTCCTGTTGCACAAGCTTGGGTGTGCACAGAAACTGAGGCCAAGTTCTGTCACTGGGCACATTTGGGCATCAACATCAAATGTCTGGCATCAAATGTCAAAGAGGAAGGAAAACATGAGACATATTGAAGAACATAATCATTCAATTGAAAATGACATGCATGTTAGAAATAGAAGACAAGGACATTAGATCAGTTATTATAATTTTATCTAAGTGAAGATGTTGGAGATATTTTAAATTATCAACTTCTGTAAGTGAAAACTACAGTTCATAGTCTGAAATTTATTAAATACACTGAATTAAATATTGCAGAAGAATATATTAATGGACTAGAAGAAATAGCAGTAGAAACTAACACAAATGAAACACAGAGAAAAATCAATTTATAAAAATAAAAAGCCCATCAGTAGGAAATCTTTAAACATCCTTCTATAAATGGTAAATGAAACCCCTGAAGGGAATAGAGTGGGTGAGAGGGATAGAAAAATATTTAAAACATACTGGATAAAAGCTTTCTAAGCTTCATGAAAACCATAAATCCCAAATATCCCAGAAACATAATGTAGCCTAAGAACAAGAAACATGAAGAAAGCTACACCAAAGAACACCATACTCAAATTAATCAAAACCCGTGATGAAGAGAAAATCCTAAGAGGAATAAAAGGTGAAAAGACATGTTACATACAGAGGACTAATTGTAAGGATGGCATTAAATTTCTCATCAGAACTATTACAAACAAGAAGTTTGCAATAGCTCTAAGTACTGAAAAAAGAAAAAAACTGTCAACCTACTATTCTATACCCAGTCAAAACGTCTTTCAAAAATGAAGATGAGCAAAAATATTTTGAAAATAAAAAAAAAACTCAATTTGCCAGTGACATGACCCTATACAGAGAAAATACTAAATAAACACACACATACACACACACACACACACACACACACACACACACACACAATTACTGGAGTTAATAAACTAATTCAGCAACCTTGCAGCATACAAGACAAAAACCAGTTGTGTTAGCAATGAAAATTCTTAAAGGAAACTGACTTCTGCTCTCTTAAAGAAACTGCAAAGATTGCAAGAAAACAAACAAAACCAAAAACCCAGCATGTCCTATGTCCCCACAAATATTCAAATATAAAAACAAAGTATTTCAATTAACTTTATGAAGATGCTTGATGAACATTCAAGAGTGTTGCTCTAAACACATTTCATAAAAGGGATATGATTTAATGAGAATTGTCATTATGTTTTCTAAAAATAATCAATTACAGAAACAGATATATTAATATAAATAAATCTTAGCATGACTTAAGTAATATCAGAATGTTGGAGGGATTTAGAAAGTGATATTTGATGAAGGTTATATTAATGATGGAAAATAAAGATAAATTCTAATATATCAAATATTTAAGAGCTGATAATTTTTAATGTCATCAATTATATTCAGTGTAGCAAAGGAGCACCTGAGAGAATGATAGTCATGTTTTTCTAGTCTTTGGCATACTTTCAAATATACTTAAGAGATGTTGAAATTATATTCAGAAACAATCTACGAACCTCATAAATTGAAAATGTCTACTTCCTTTGACATCAATTATAATTTTATAGAGATTTTATCAATATTATATCTAACAAATATTTTAAATGTAAGCTGTGACTCTCAAAACTCTGAAAATGTCAAATAGAGAAAGAAAAAGAGAAAGGGAAGCCCTGACACTTACAAAAGAGCCTTTTGGTCCAGGGAATCCAACGGGACCCTGCAGTCCTTGAGGACCCTGGAAATAAAAAGCAGTGGGGAGAAGTTAACAACATGCCTTAGAAGATGCATCTTTATATTTTGAGATTGATTTGTATAGATGAAATACAATGTATCATCCAGCTTCTTCATCACAGTGACAAAACTACGGTAATGCAACATGAGAGTAAGTGCTAATCCAAAAGCAAAATGGATAATTTTTCACACTACTCTACCCAAAACTGCACATCACATCAATGTTACCTCAGGAACACTGTAAATATTTAGAACTCTTATGAATTAAAAGTGAAGAGACGGTAGAATTGAGAAGTTCTGCAGCTTCTTTACTAAACATTGGCTAGAAACATTCATAGAAGGAAGATATTTTGATTCAATTCCACAGCCCTCTAAAAAATACTGTTTGAAAACTTATTCCATCCGTGTTCTGTATCTAGCCATATATTCTAAAACTAAAAGAGAAAGTATGTGACTAACACAGATAGACCACAGAAGATGCTGTTAACTAGTCTCCGTATTTAAAATAAATATATTTCTCCTAATGTTACTCTTCATGGCAAGCGTATATCTATGTAACAAACCTGAATGTTCTGCACATATACCCCAGAACTTAAAGTATAATAATAAAAAAAGAGAATATTAAAAATAAACATATTTATTTATTTTTGATGATGATAGTATATTTTTTACTCGTGTATAATAATACATTAAAATTTGGAGAAATATAAATAGATTTATGAATATTAAAGATTTTAAATCACCAACAAATCAATACACTATATTTCTGGCAGTCTGGCCATGATCTGCAACAGCCATTTTGCTGCGCTGTGGGGAATTTCACCCTGTCCAGACCTCCTAGTCTCCTTAGCACTGTCAAGGGAACACCTCCAACTAAAGCCTCGCTAATGGCGGTTGCCTGTCCCCCTGGGAACTCAGTTGTCTCAGGCGGACTCCAGACTGCTGTGCTGGCAGCGGGGATTTCAAGCCAGCGGGTCTTAGCTTGCAGGGCTCCGTGGGAGTG